ATCAATTTATGAACTAAAAAACACAAAATCAGAGCACCAAACCCTAATTTTTCAAGAATGTGTTAAAGTATCAAAATCTTTAAAAAAATTACAATGCTGAAAACAATTCAAACAAAAACTGATCCTAAATTCCTAATTCACTAAGTAGATCACTCACAGCGCTAAATCTAACACAACTTGCAATATGTGAAAGTAATAATATGTGTGAAAATAATAAACATAGTACCTGTGATCACTCCCTTGCAAGATGTTCTCAAATGTGTCTAATAAACCCTGAATTACAAACAAAACAACAAACATACTAACTGAAAACCATAATTTAAACCAAACATAATTAAATTCCAAGATTGTAAAGTATTAAAAAATTACTAAGCAAACATATAAAATATACTAACCTTTTGTCTATCAGATATGAATGTAATACCATAGTAAGGCCCCATAGCATCCATCAGTTCTCCCATGAACCATTCCCAAGAATCCCTTGTCTCAGCCTCTACTACTGCATATGCAACTGGGAACATTTGGTTATTTCCATCAGTAGAGACTACACTCAAAAGATGGCCACCATATGGTCCCTTAAGGAAGCAACCATCCATACCAATTGGTGGCCTACAACCTTCTTTGAAACCCATTTTCATTGCAGAATAGCAGATAAAAACTCTCTGAAATCTCCTAACAGGAGTGGGATCTGTTGCTATCTTAACAACACTGCCATGATTGGTTCTAAGAATCAAACTACAGTAATCCCTCATTTTTGCATACTGGTTTACTTCATTCCCCTGAATCATTTCTAATGCTTTTCTCTTTGCCCTATACACTTTGTGTTTGGACACATTAATGTCCAAATCAACTGCAATAGTGGTTCTAAGTGAATCCAAATGCATTTTGGGGTTCAATCTCAGGTTTTCTAAGTACTTGTTTGCTAAATAAGAAGATGAGGCTTGTCCATTATTATTAAACCTGAGGCAGTTTGTATGTTCTGAGACAGATGTTTTCACTACCAAACAGTTCTCACCGTCTGGTTTGCTTGCATGTATCTTCCAACCACAATTAGCTTTACACACTATACTCACCCTATCTCCATCATTTCTTGTGAACTTAATATCAAATTTATTCTGCAAACATAATTCTCTAAATGCCAATTTGAAATCTGCAGCTGAACTAAACCTCATACCTAATTCAACTTCCTTTTCCCCCAAATCCCTTAAAGGATAAAAGTCTTTGTATACAGAACTTGAATCAATTTCTTCACTATCATCAGAGCCACATAGATTGACTAAATCATCAATAGGACCATAATTTGATTGAACATGAGCAATTGTGTCTATTTCATGTAATGCATACTCCCACCCTACTTCAGCTGAGTTTTTAATCCCTTGCATGAAGTCATCCTCATTTTTTGCACTATTCAGCACAGGTGCTACAATGTACAACCTGATTTTATTGGTTACCCTATAGGCTTCATGGTCATAAAGATATTCTAAAAACATCTAAGTCACACTTGACTTCTCTAAAGTTCTACCACTCATAAGGTACTTTATAAAATACTTCTTTAATCACCTCATATCCCAACTTGCTAGCAAAAGCTTGAATCACAATAAGTGACATCTTGTCAGGGTCTACATTGTCAAATTCAGATATACTTCCTCCTAGGTATGTCATAGCATGTGATTTCTCAAAAACACCCCCATGGTGAAGTTCAACGCTGTTAAGGCCATTCATCTACAACAATAATTTACAATAACTAATAAACAAATATATAACTAAAGAAATATATATTTAGTTATAAAACAAGAATAGTGATCACAGAGAACTATTTGACACTTCAATCACTAATAATCAACAAATTTAATACACAACAAAGTGTACAAAACATATCAATGACAAACTAATAAATATAGCGACCACCATTGAAAGAAAACTGACTACAACTAGTAGCTTTGAATATAGAATAAAGACCACTACAAAATATATTGCTTTGATTAATATAAGGGACCACAATTGATATTTAACAACAAAAAGATAATATATAGGGTCCCAATCATATTTAGTGTTTGGTGCAATTAAAAAAAAAAAAAAAAAAAAACAGCAACTTTTCTACCTTTCATTTTTCAACACTAAAGAACAAAGCAAAGCATATAAAGCCACAATATAAAAGGGGCTGGTCGGCCATTCTGAAACACACAACAAAGACCTTCATAAATCATGTATACAAGTTAAATCGACAAACTTCATTTGATAGATTTAGGTTTTTGGGCAATAATGAACTTCCCAACTCATTTATAGAAATAAAAACAAAACATACAAAACAAATTTCAGTAAAAAAATCAACAACCATAGGTTTTCATTTCTTTCTAAAATAATTTTTCATATCATTCCACAGATATATAAAACACATTGAAGATTATTTAGGGTTGAGAGAATTACTGATGGAACACCACTTCAGACTTCGTATCCAGATCAACTGAGTAAGAAATGTTAAGTTACCCTGATTATCAGAGCTTGGTGCGAAGAAAATGGCGCAAATGCAGTGCTTCATAGAATGACTGGCTTTGGTGGGTTATGGTAGAGGTGGGTCAGTACGAAGTGATAAGGCTAGATAAGGCTTAATGTTGTTGCTTGGTTATTGGTCGTGGAGATTGCAATCTGCCACGTCATTAAGATAACTCAGCCAACTCATCATATAACCAATACTACACCGTTTTTATTAAGGGCGAAATTGGTCATTTTCTATTTCCGATTAGGTCACATGTTGGAATGGCTGAAATTGCAATAAAATGATAGTTCAGGGGGGTTTTTTTATAGTTCAGGGGGGTTAGTTGCAATATGGCAATAGTTCAGGGGTTTTTTTTGCATTTAACCCTTGAGTTTATGAGCAACTAAACTTATATAGACTTGGACCTAGTCTTTCTGTGGTCGTGCACATGGAGGAGACGCTGTTGCGAGCTGATTGGGTTGTATCTTGAAGTTGACTAGTTTCACCAATACCAGCACGAAGGAGAGGACTATCAGCTTCTGTTGTGAAAATTTCACATAATTGTAATATCACCTTTAACATGGCAAGTTAGCTTGCATGGTGGGTCACAACTTAATAAAAATTTATTTTGTGTGGTGGAGGGAGATCGTACGGGATTGCCCAAGTTCTCTCATCCGATGCGTGGTGTGTGTGTGCTTGCATTATCTCTTATGCCACTTCCAACATTGCAATCTTGCAATCAAAGAATACACTAACATTCTATCTGGATAGAATAAATAAAGCTAACTATCAATCTCAAAATTTTCAAATGAGGTATTATTCAGTGATGTATTATTTTATGAGGGGGGAAAAAAAAATGAGATTGATAGGAAGAAAGTGATGGTGTGAAAAAAAGAAAAAGAAAAAAAAAAGGATAAACCGAAGAGTTGAGTTGTGAAGAAAATAAAAGATATAAAAAAAATCAAGAGTCTTCTTAGGACATAGTACTATACATGTCGAGGGGGATGGGCCTAAGCCCCAAGAGAGTCACCTACGGAGATAAACTAACCTTCTAATTGGTGATTCATGTCACATGACGAAAGGTTCAATGGGTAGAAACAATCTGCATTGCGTGACTCATTGACAACACTACTTTATTAGGAGGTTTCTCAAGGAGATTCTTTCACGTTCATCCCTATGGCATCCGTGTTGTGATATGACGTTAAGGAAAAGCTTTGCCCTGAATGACTTCGAGGCGAGCATACTCTCGCAGGGTATAGGTCACATATACCCTTGGAGGATTCACCTAAGTGAAAATCGTCGTGAGGTCACGACCATGGAAGTTGGGCTGTTCCCTAGAGCTTTAATGAGATTTAAGATACCAGCACATGGCCATTAATCGCGCTAACCCGCCAAACCTAGTCTATCGTCAATATTATGTTTGTGGTATGTTAAAGTTTGGCTCAAGGAACTGAATTTAAGAGTTAGATCATTCAGGTACGTTCCTCAAATGGAGACTATCACACTAAGTGTAGGTTCAAATCCGGAAAGCACCTACACCAATTGCATAGTATAAAGTTGCTCAATTATATATTTTACTTATTTTATTAAAATAGGTGGGGGATTGTTGAGTAATATTTTAATAAAATTAATAAATATATTAAATTATATATTAAGTTACAATATATTAAATACTATTTAATAGAATGGTTTATTATATTTATATTGATGAAATAATTATATTTAAATTCTCTATTTATGTTGCTATAACCATTACACTCTTTTACATTATAAAAAAGTTCTATGTTTATCATTCTAAGGGGAAGTATGGATACGTATATTTAGTGTGAGTGAGACTCTAAAAGAATAGTTTTTTTATCTCTCTATTAAACTCTTCCATATATGTATATGTGTATACTGTATTTAAAAGTATTTTATATATTGAGTTTATGAGCAACTAGACTTATATAAACTTGAACCTAGTCTTCCTGTGGTCGTGCACATAGAGGAGACACTGTTGGGAGCTTATTGGTTTGTATCTTGGAGTTGACTAGTTTCACTAATACCTGCACGAAGGGGAGGACTATCAGCTTTAAGTCAATGTGTCTATACATACCTCAACAATCAGGCAAACTCTTTTTTACCTATTTTATTATTGTTGTTTTATTCTTAATTTCTATTATTATATTAATCTTATTTATTTATCATGTTAAGTTCTTATTCATTTGTTATATTCATATTGTTCAAATGATGTATTATTCAGTAAAATAAAAGAATCGTTATTAAATTATTTATTGATATTATTATTTATTTTTTTGAATCATTGTGTATAAATATTATACTTTTATATTTTTTTCTATAATTATGTAAAATTTTCACAACAAAGTTAATCATCATCCCATTAAAAGCAAAACACTCACTTAAAATGAGTAGGGAGAGTGTGGGGGTGGTGGACCGACCCCACACATTCCTTCTCTCGCTTCTTCGGTTAAGTCATAATACCATTAAGCCCATTAAGTCACCAGCCCACAGATACCATTTAACTCGCATACCTTCCTTAATCTATAACGCGACTAAGTCATAAACCACACTAGTAGTGCATAATTGGTGAGTGGTGTATCAAAATCACAATAAATGGCACGTGGCATTGGGGATGGGTCACCTGTGCTTTTTTTTTTTGGCTTATAAATTCCACAGCACGTTTTGGACCTTTGGTGACATTAAAGGCCACCACCACCACCACCACTTGCAATTCCAAAAAGTCCCCCACTCTGTGCTATTTCAACCTCAGCCACATCATTTAGTTTAAATACAAATATACCCTTTGAATTAAATTAAGCACGGTGCTTGACTCTTCTAATACATTCATCTTTACCTTTGAGTTTTGACCTTTGAATATTTTGACTTGCTCCGATGGTCAAACCGCCCATTGATCACCAGATATCAAGTACACCTCTGACTTTCTCATTCCTCAACCTATATAAACCCTTAATGCATTTCCAACTCTCTCAAGTGCGAAGTCATTATGAGTAGCTCAGACGAATGTGGCGGCAGCGGTGGTGGTGCAATTTCGAGCTCAACCCAGAAGAAGTACAAGGGCGTGCGATGCCGGAAATGGGGCAAGTGGGTGTCGGAGATTCGAGTTCCGGGCACCAAAGACCGGCTCTGGCTCGGCTCCTACGCGACCTGTGAGGCTGCCGCGGTGGCATACGACATAGCCTCCTACTGTCTCAGAGGACCCTCTTCGGTGCAAGGTCTTAATTTTCCGTTGATGTTGCCGCCTGGCGTTGGGACCGACATGTCCCCGAGGTCCATCCAGAAGGCTGCTTCTGATGCTGGCATGGCCGTTGATGCTCAGTTGACTGTAAAGCAGCCTCAAAAGAGCACACAAGAAAGTAGTAGTTTGAATGATGGTTGCGGGAGTACTAATTGGGAGGGAATGAGTGGGTTGAGAGAAAATGAGGCTTTAAACATTTCCGTTGACGATTATCTCTAATGCTGCGTAGTACTCAATGTGTACCGAATAGTAGAAAATTCAGTTTAAATTTTGAATTAAATTTTCTTCCGGATGGTAGAAAATTTAGTTTAAATTTTGAATTAAATTTTCTTCCATTTTAATTTTAATAGTTAATTTAGAACTCTCAAACATAGTGTAAAATATAATACTGTGTATAAACAATATTTGACCCCAATAAATGATTGGTGTTGCACAATAATATAGTTCGAGACTTTCAGTTTCAACGACTAGTGCCAATTTAAAATTGTGCTTTGAAATATATATCTATTTTTTTGTGTTGACCACTTTCTTTCATTTTCTTTCTGCCAATTAAATAAAGAAAAGTGTTATTGGTGTGGTAAAAAAATAATTTGACACGTGTTTTGCTCATTAGAAAAATTAAAGAAGTCTACAAAAATTTTTAAAAAATTTAGATTTGAAAAAAGTGGTTTCTTTTACTATAGTAATGTGGATGTAAGTATTATTTTGGTGTGTACTTTTCTTGGTAAGAGCAACTACTAGTGTCAATTCAAAATTGTGTTTTGAAGAATTTATAATGAGAATTAGAACCAATTCAAAATTTTGTTTTGAGAAAAAAAAAAATTGTGAGAGAGGTGACAACCTTTTTCATTTTATTTATGCCAATTAAATAAAGAAAAGTGTAATATATAAACAATAATCACCTTCAAAACAGTGAGGTCCTCTCAATCATTGGTGTGATATAATAATATTTCGGCACGTATTTTGCTTATTAGAAAAATTGAAAGAAGTCGCAACTTTTTATTTTTCTATAAGATTTCATAAGAATATTGTTGCGTCACATCAATGATTTCAGAAGTTTGTTTTTGGATGCAAGTACTATTCCAGCATATATTTTGTTCGTATTAAAAATTACGACTAGTACTGATTCAAATTTAAGTTTTGAAGAAAATATTATGAAAACGAAATACCAATTCAAAATTTTGTTTTGAGAAATTCTTGTTACGTGGGAGAAAGGATACATCATTTTCATTTTCTATATATGACCAAAGAATGTCTCGTAAAAGTATTTTAAAAAAAATAAATTACAGAATAATCAATGACACGCGTTCCACTTAAAGCATTCAAAGTTGCTGAATGCTTTCCTTATGATTTTAATTTGACTTCTTTGCTGTTGGCAACGGAGCCAGAAATCTTCTTGAATGGGGGACAAATATTGATAATAATGTGATAATTGATAAGAAATTTGAACCAAAGAAAATAAATAGTAAAAGAGGATTCTACTAAATCAAAATCATGTTCTGAAGAAAATATTATGAAAACGAAATACCAATTCAAAATTTTGTTTTGAGAAATTTCTTGTTATGTGAGAGAAAGGACACGTCATTTTCATTTTTATTTTCTTTATGCAATCATAGAATGTTCTGTAGAAGTATTCAAGATAAAATAAATTACAAAACGAGTAATGACATGCGTTCCACTTAAAGCATTCAGAGTTGCCGAATGTTTTGCTTATGATTCTAATTTGAATTCCTTATTGTCAGTGAGTTAGAAATCTACTTGAGTGGGGGACAAATATTGATAATAAAAATAATGGATAAGAAATTTTGACCCAAAGAAAATAAATAATAAAAGACCAGTCTTTTTCTGAAATTTGATGCTTAAAAATTTTGTGGGATCCATTGAAGGAGAAAAAGACACGAGTTTTTTTGAATTTTGAAATTTTTGCTGGACAAATAAATTAGAAAATGAGGGTCTTCTTTAATTTTGACTTTTTAAGGCATTTTGTAAATTTTTTAAAAGTTGGATGGGTAATTTAACAATTATAAAAATTTGTATATAAAAAATATAAATAACTAAAAATTCCGGTGGCCACGGCCATGGCGATGTGGCTACGCCATTGCCTGGTGTGACAGGTTTTTATTGTAATATTCTGTAAAAAAATTCAATAACACATGTTAAAACATAAAGTAATAATTTTAAAATTAAAAATAATAATCTTTAAAAAAGATTTCATCACAATGAAAGTATATTTAAATATATTTATTCTATATTTTAACTAATTAAAAATTTAAAACAAATTAAATGAATTGAATTACAATTTAAGAACGCATTTAAACTATTAAGTGGGGTAACACAAAGTCCATATGTACCCAGTCACTTTTATTGTGACAATTCTGTCCCCTTGAAACGTTCTTGTTGTGACCTAGCCATCTTGCCCATCCAGATGGCACACTCGAACACCCCTTAAAACATGCTTGTTTGGCGTGACATTAAGTTAAGAATTAAATCTAATTTTGATACTAAATTTAATAGGCGGGTGCTTTGTAATTCGGCATTAACGCTTAAATTATTAAGTGAAGATCCGGACGCCAGAACAGAGATATTGACCAATTATTTTTCTCACCCAAAATATCCACGTCGGTGTGATATGACCGTGTAGAAAACGCTTATTGAAGAGGGACGGAGTCATGACCTAGTCCTTGTAAACAAGTTAGACGCTTACAGAATCCACTTGATTCACCAAGAATTTTTGAAATCTAATTACATCATGCATGACGTTAGCAATTTTAACTTTTTAATACGTAGCTTTGAAGCTTTTCTCCAGAATTAATGAAGTGGGTCCCAATGTAACATGCCCATTTTGATCCAAAAAGTGTGGGACCAACCTTATCCGAGTGCACACAGTTTGCTTCACAATCCTCTGTGTTTTGATGGTTCTCTTCTTTATACCTTTCACAGTTTAAGCCAATACCAAGTCTTAGGGAGCATTTCTAACTGTTTGTGTATGTATATATATTTTTATAAATATAAATTTTATGTGTCATAATAAATTTATAAAAAAAATTTAATTTATCTATTTTTAATTCTAACTGTATACTTTTCATATAAAAATATATTCTCCACTCAAGAAAACGGTTGCTTTATACCTTTTATATAAAAATATATTCTCCACTTAGGGCGGCTCAATACAATTTAAAGCCTTAGGCAAAAAAAAAAAACTTTTAATAGAGTCTACCTATATATTCATACCAGTAATATATTCATTATTTGTTTTGTGATTTTTAAGAGTAATACTAAAAAAATTTCAATCTCTAATTCTATCTTAGTTAATTAATTATGTACTTTCTAAAAGACATATTCAACAATATAAATAAAAATGATGACAACTCACAAACAAAATAAATAATTTTATGATAATAAAATTTAATAAAACTATAAACTTATTGAAGTTATAGAACAATGGAAATTGATTTTGAAGAATTTGGTTCAATACTTCAAAAATTCTTTAATAAATTAAAAGTTCATTCAAAGTATTGTGACGAGGTGATGTTGTAAATTGTAGGAGTGGAGAAGATGAAAATAAAAAATAAAAAAAATTTTATAATGAGAGGAGTAAAAATATGTGAGGAATAAGAAAAAAAGAGTTAATAGAAAGTTTCACAAGTCCCACCATAATGGATAATATTTATGATTGGTATAATGATAACGAGGAGTAATATATATGTATATGTGTTTATACACTTATGTAATAAGGATAAGAGAGAAAAAACAATATAATATAAATATAAAAATATTTTGGGCCTAATATTAAATTTCTTTATTGCTTGAGGTTTAATAATAGAAGAAAATAAAATTTTTAGGTAACTTATATATGAAAAAAAATTTGGGGGCCCTAAAAAAAAGAAATAAAAGGTAATAAACAATAGAAATCTTTTAAGTCCGTGTAAAATTCCTTTATTTATCGATGTTTAATAATTAACATAATTATTTTAAGAAAGTTATAATATATAAAGAAAGGAGAACGTATGAGGCCTTCTTATTGACCGGGGCCTTAGACGACCGCCTAACTCGGTTAAGGATCTAATCGCCCTGTCTCCACCCACATAATTTTTATAAAGTTATTTAATATAGAATTGATTAGTTAATGGAACGAGAAAGATGAAGAAAAGAAATATATTGATGTGACTGTAAAAAAAACAGTATAAAATACACAATAATTTTAAATATTAATGATGTTATTGTGTGTGTATATATATATATATATATATTTTGTTTGTTCAGACTTCTTCCATCATAATTTAATATCTGCAGAAAACAAAATCAATATAATCATCGAAAAAAGAAAAAGAAAACAACCATTTGTTCTTTTATTTGGCATATAGTGAATTAAATTTAAAAACATATACAAGGATTAATTAACATGATTGGCTTTTCGAAACCAACAAGTTTGAACAAAATCACTTGCTGAGAAAATAAAATTAAAAATAAAATATTACATTTGAATGTTTTATCGCTACGTGAATATATATTAGTTCATTCTTCCCTGTGAAACCGAACCCCTCGGAATCCTCATCAACCACCATTCTCACCTGATGTGCATCATAAAAAGGACAGCGGGTTAGAATTGAGAACTTAGAATACAAGCTTCTTTCTTACAGCGGTCCTGAGGGAAAAGAGAGCACAAATTTTTAATTTTATGATTCCAAAACCAATTTCATAAGACGGAATATTTCCAGTAAGAAAGAAAAGTTGCACGCAGTTGTGTAACTTTAGATTAAAAACCAAGGTAAAATCGATAGAGGATAAAAGTTTCTCCCATTTATATTCCCACATGTTAATGCTGGTGCGTATGAGAAATAGTGCAAGCCTTCTCTTCCACTCATAAAATCAAGTCAACATTACTTTTTTAGCAAGTAGGGTGTCCGTCCGCATTGCCACTATATAATCTCTCCTCTCTTTGATGAGGGGAGGACAGTGAAATGCAACCACCAGTTCATATTTTACCAATGCGAGTGTTCTCTGTTATAGAGCCTATAGAAGAAGAACTCATCAGATTGCTATAGACGCTTGTCTCACTGTTGATAGGCAGTAGGCCTCTCTTTGGCAGATTTATTTTCTTTTCTAATGTTCTGTTTTTTTTTCTTTCTTTCTTTTGATGCTATTTAGGGTATGCCCTGTTTAGTGTGTTTTCTTGAGCGTTAGGACTGTTTCCTTGGACTGCACTTCAATTTTGAATCAATAAAATTTACCTCATTCAGAAAAAAAAAAAAAAAAAAAAAATCATAGGTACAAATACCACTTTAACATACAAAAAGTCATAGGATCTAATACCCATATGATAGAAATGATATTGATCTAACATGCATATGCATA